GAATGTAAACCACGTAACACACCCATTTATAGAATCAATGATGCACATAAGCTAAATTAAGCCGAATTAGTGAAAATAAAAAGTGTATCGGTATTGAGATCCCACATAAATATTCTATTATCGTGCTTCTGTAACAACGGATGAGATATTGATTGGATAATTAAAAAACTTGTACATAACGGGATGTGTTACACGGCTAAAGCGTTCAATAAAGTATGCAATGACAAACAAAAGACTTGTACATAATGGGATGTGTTACTTACATCCTTTAAGTTCAATAAAGTATGCAATGACAAAAAAAAAGACTTGTACATAATAGGATATGTTACATGCCTAAAACGTTCAATAATAACAGAAAAGGATAAGTGCTTATTCCTTATCAGTTATGCATTGTTTGAGAGAGTACGATATAGGTCCTGAAAATTCAGGGTAACTTATAGTACTTTAAATAATTGCAAAGTTGACAGTCTAATCATTAATGCGGATTATAATAGTCTTTTGTAAGAACGTAGGCTTTCTGGGCTCATTACTATCGACCTAGAGTTTAAAATTATGTCGATAATAGAAAAGAAAAAACAGTTAAATTGATTCTTAAAAATTTAAAACCCGCAGTATGAATACTGGGATTTTGTCTGCGTCCTGACATCATGCGTTAGTACAATGTGATATGTAAATAAAAATAAAATAATAACAATAATAATTACAAGCCTATTGTTTTTTGCTAATTTATTTAATAATTTTATGGTTTATTCTTTTTATATTAGGTGGTTATATTAATATAATTATAACAATATTGGCATGATAATAATAGTAATCTGCACATTAAATAAAGAAAATAATTAATAAAATGAGATCCGTAGATTTAATTGATTGATAAGGAATGAGTAAATCTTTGCCATAATAGGCCTTGTTACGATAACGTCTAAAAAGGCTTTCTAAAGTGAAAAAGATAATGTAAAAAAAATTTCACCTACACGTTATTTAACCAACATGATAATTTAGCATGTTATTGATTGTAGGCATAGATTATTGTAAATTGTCGCTTGGTACAATATCGTCTAAATGACTTTTCAGTGAAATTAAATTATTTTCGGTGAAGTAGAAATCCAGATGAAATTGGGATCGGTTTTTGGAACACGCGATAACCTCGGAAACCCCAAAAAATTGTTTACGTTAAAGTTTGTGATTGGTTGAAGTTCATTTTAGGGTTAAGAGAAGTTCTAATAGTAAACTCACTCAATAAAGATTGTTCAAAAAGTTGCTAATTAGCTCGAATTTAATGAGATATTTCTAGCGTTTGTTTGAAATTTTTTTATGTTACTCACGATATTGACTTCTATTGGCTAAGTTTGATTCGGAACATCACGTGTTGGAAAATAGATCTTATGCTTATTTCTTATTGTGAGCCATGAAACATGATCCCTGAAGCACGTGGAAGGAGTGATCGATGGTGACGCAGTAACGATTAACGGCAATGACGATCACCTACCTAATATGGGCTTCCCGGGATTATCGCTCTTAAAAGTCGTATAGAGTCTTTAGCAATTATAAGGGTAATAGTGGTAATAGGGAATATTATATTTAGGGGCTTTAGGTAATACAGGACATTAAAAATGTATACGTTAAATAATAAGTTTAGTATGTTTAATAGCTGTAGGAGCGCATATGTAATATAACAATATATAATAAAGGCTTCGAGCCCTACCTGAGCAGTAGTTTTTCGTGCTTGCAATACATTTTGACCCAAATACTTTCCTGCTTTCGTGACAAATATATTATAAAACCTACGATCATAAACACACTACTCTCCAAATCTAACCGCCTCTTATCGACTAAGCCGTTCGTAGGTTACACGGCGTATCCGTTTGAGAAGCGACCAACACGCCGACGCCAGTTCAATGGTGTCATTTTCTATTGTGAGCTGTAGGATGGTAACGCCGGAAGCCCGTAGAAGCAGGTGATCGATGTGGCGTAGTAATGAATTAACGGCTATGTCGATCACTTACCTAAAATTGGTTTACCGGCTATTCGCTACGAAGAAGACGTTTGTTGTTCGTGATCCAAATAAAATTTGTCTCCTAATAATGTCCTAATAGTGCCCTGCTTTCGCTATATCATAATACCTACGATCATAAATTTTCCACTCGCCAAATCTAACACGCCCATACGTATCCGATTGTGGACGACTAACTCTATACGAAAATTGATCTGTATTTACAGTTATTAAAATATGTAAAATCTTAATAGCTTATAGTTTTCACAAAATTGTCTAATACGAAATTTACTTTTATTTCAACCATAATCTAATAGGCAATATGATTTAGGCCGTTTTTAGTTGATATTTAGGTTAACGTCATCCCCCCTTCGCTTAACTGTCCCCGAAAATTAAACAAGCCGATCACAACGCAGTATGGATGGGCAAAGTAATTTTGTAAGTAATAATGACCTATGACTTATTCCTTACTTAATATTAAATAATATTAAATATTTATTACATTCTATTACTTATTATGTATACGTATAAAACACATGATAACAGTCGGAGGCGAGTGATCAAAATTGAGATTGAACGAAAAATTACTGCTAAGAATCAAATTATTATAAATTACTTATTATTACCTATTTCACGGGAATATTAAATAATATTAAGTAATAATATATAACTGACTTTGCCCATCTCTACAACGCAGCATAAACTTCATTAATCATGTGATTAATGTTGGCCAATGATATTTGATCAAATATTCTCGGGACTATATGTGCTTGTTTAAATTTCCACCCTCCCCCATGCCTGAGACTAAATATCGACGCTAACCTAAAAATCAACTAAAAATGGCCTTATCTTCATTTGCACAAATACAAAAATATTACCTTTTAAGGGATCCATATTACCATAAGTATTTGGTTTTTTTATATAGATTAAATCCTCACAGTTTCACATTCGTTAAGCAGTAAATTTTTCAATGATCTATCTAATAATACTTTGTAACTATTATGCGATTCATTCATGCAATCTTATCAAATACTTGATGTATATTTTCTAATATTGATGAGTAAAAAAAAAAACTTTTTTAATTCGAATTTTAGTTAACAAACCCAAAAAGAGCTTAGTGATTAATTGTGTGAAACCCTGGTAAACCTGCTCTCATAATCAGTTCATTGTGATACAAAAACACCTGTAATCTTTTATCATATGAACAAAACCTTAATTTAAATCTCTCTCGGCCGTGGGAATGTGTAGGCGTAAGTTTTCAAAATCATGAACACAACTCTGTTAATTATTTTATTAGTTGATGAAAATTATTTTCAATACAATTACTATAGAATAAATTATTATTTATCGATCGGATAAGCTTGTATCAGCGATTAGAAATTGTGTAATAAGATATTTGTTCTAGCATTGCCCATATAAATAGTATTATCAGAAAAATCATGTGACTAATTCTCGATTATACAGTTATAACGGACACCAGTATCGCACGTGTCTGTAAAATGCAAATCCTAGTTCTCTGATTTCCCTTATCAGTAGTGAAAAGATGATAATCTTTTAGGGATAAAATTTATTTGACTACACTCAAGTGACCGTAATCAAAACACCATCAAATTATTGAGCTCTTATGTAGAAGAAACCACACCATTTATACCTTATGTGGAATAGATACTTACCAGATTTGATAATTTTACTTTCAAAAAGTTATCAATTCTGCAATTACAGGTTTTGTACGACTGACACCTGCATATGTACTGATAAATTTGATTACATTATACGAGTTTCTAATTTGAGTGTAAAAGGCTGATATATGATTCATATGAGTATACTGTACTGAAATCAGGAACTGACAGATTCGATCTTTTCCGTACCCTAATTTATAAGTTCCCAATACGCTTCGGACAATCATTATAAACAAAAAATTTAAGCCTGTAAAGTACTCAATTCAAGTTTATTACGAGTTTACCTAATGATTAAATTTTAGTAACCAATGACTTGCCGTATGACAAGATATAAATTTAGTGCGATTATCTCCGATCAGTTATAACAGAGTATTATACTTAATAATACTATTTCACATTATCAACTAGAATGACAACAAAAAAATCTACAAGTAGTACTTCAGCATAGCAAACGAAACATACTTGATCCTTACATATTGTGCATTTTTCAGAAGACTAAAGTTATTTCTGCGGTGCAAAAACTTTTCGTAGACTTCTGACATGACATTTCATATGTAGTTTGCGAAAAATAAAGATAAAAAAATTGCATCAACAGTTTAATCACACTATTTATCATTCGCGAACTTTTTAGCAACAAGTTAATTCTAATGTTATATAGGTATTTTAACATTTTAAATACAAATTTTAGGATTACCGTATAATATTGCTTATCCGAAGTTAAGTTTAGAATTACTAATCTTCCGATCAATTATCTCGATGATCTAGGCGAGGTGGAAGCTAATGCGTCTGATTGGTTAATTATTTATTAATTGGTTCCAGCACCAACATTTTTCTTCAATAGATTTGCGAGTATATTCTCACTATTATATGATGAACTATTATATCGTAAAGTTGCGATCTGCCATCTGTTTTTCTTCATCCATGGGAAAATAATACTATTGTTCGGCCGTGAAGAAAATAATCAATAAAGAACTTTATAATGAAACATAAATTGATAATCGTATACTTATTTACTCACTAATTTTATTGTAACAAACCTATATTTTGATATTTGTGCGCATCACTTACGCGTGATAAAAGGGAAACTAAAAAATCATGTATTAATGAAATATAATGATGAAAGAGATATTAAAGTGATTACCTTGTATAAATAATTTTAAATACTCGTGATATATACCAGTGACAATTATCGTAAATAAATATACTATAACTTTTACATTAGGTTTATTTTTAAAATTTAAGTTTTTATTCTCACATAAAATGTAAATTCTTATTTAAATAATGATTCATACCTTAATATCTATCCCTTCTCAAACCCATTTTTCGCGATGGATGACTATAAACGTTTCTTGCTATCTCAACTAATCCAGTTGATTCAAAGACCTCATAAGAGTAAGAAAAAAAATCAGCATCTTTTCTTTTTCTTTTTAAAAAATATTCTGTTAAAATATGAAATTATAAATATATAGATAAAAAAAGGATTGTTCGTCGTAACATTGAAAAAGTTTGTAATAGAGTTGGTTACAATTTTAAAGTTTCATATAATGGTTGTGAAAAAATCGCGGAAATAATTCGAAACTTTTCGCCTCAAGGAGCAATAAATGAAATTATATGTATCTTACCCACATTACAAATTGATTTGGTTATTCCTGGTCCACCAACACTCAAGAAACGGCCTAAAAAACGTTCGTCAAAGCTCAGGGAACAATCCAAACAACATATGTCAAGGTCACTTAAAACTTCTCAAGCAATTAAAATCGATTTAGAAGAACGAAAAAAGCTTCTAGGTGCATCTTTGGACGAAATTATTAATTGGCCACATTATCCATTAAAAAGTTTCTCTTCGGCTTATTATTCAGAATAGGCTAGAATTTAAAATAGTAAAAATATTCATAAGTGTTTGTAAAAGTATTCAAATTTTGTACATTTTATCTATGTATTTTCAAATATACCGGTTGTATAAAATAAAACTCTCTGTTTATATGGCATCAAAGTCTAGTTTCTCCTCAATTTCTCTTTTAATTTCTCATTGAATGTCATGAATGCTATTTTCTGTTGATGATGTCAGTTATAACAAATCAAATTTCAAGATCTGGTGTAACGTAAAAATTATGAATTTTTCTTACCATTACGAACCCATTTAAAAATGGTACATGACTTAAACTAATGGCATTTTTCATTTCTTTAATACGTGGTATCTGATTAGAAGTTTTGAAAGTCCGATACAATCTAACAGGAATAGGATATCCTGTTATACTAATATTCAGTTGTCATTAAACCTGATCACTTGTTATAAAATGAAATTTTTACAGGAAGAATATAACTCAAATACTTAATTACCTGTTAAGTATATATTATTGCACTTTAATAAAATATTTAGTAGAAAGGGTCAATCTTGTTTTTTTTTTATCGATGAATATTGTGACGTTATACGCGACTTTTGTCAGATCCTCAGAATATCATTAATAATTGTGACTATTATGGTAACTTTTCCATATAAATATTTGGTAAAGGAAAATGATAATATTATACACTAATCACTTAGAAATTTTTAAGTGCTCTGATTTCAGATTGATATTTCAAAAAATACCGTATTTCAATTTCATAATTCGGTGTAAAAATCTTACTTTTATAAAAAAAAAAAAAAATCGGTAACTTAACTCAAAAATACCGAATATGTCCAAATTTATCATATCATTTATAATGTGGAAACATTAAGCGATTTCCTTTATAACAATCATTTATTTTTATTTTTGTAAATAAAATCATTGTTATTTTATGCGGGATAACTAACATTTCATTTTAAAGTGTTCAAACTTGGTTCATATATTCGAAATTTTTCGGACTAAAAATACCGCACTACGTGTTAATTCTCCGTTAAAAATTAAATTATAAAACTAAATTATTTTGTTTCGAAAAAGTCACGTGATTATGCACTATATGGGCCAATGAATTTTTTGACATTGTTATAATTTTGGTCACGATTTTCTTCCTATTCAGGAAAGGTTTTCCTAATATACTATGTACGGGATTGATCGGAATATTTATATTTCCTTTTTTGATTATATCATTTTAGAGTATTATGACGCACTTAAGGAATTGCTTATATAAAAATTTACCAGGAACGGAGTTTATACAACGTATGGTTTACAGGCAAGTTAATATGTCTGTGCGATTCTCAGCATATGATTGGGTAATCTGTCATCGTGATTTTGTGTAGCACCCCAAACAATACTTTAAAAGGTAGGTACCAGGAACAAATGCCTCTGTACACAAAAATCTTGGAATTGATTGGTCCGCGTGACTTATTCATCATTTAAAAAAATATAAATGAGCGCATACATCTGTAAAATCGAAGATGCTATAACAAACGATAGTAAAAATAAGCTTTTTAGGCACAAAAATTAGAGTCCCAATATAAATTTAAAAGCCTCAATGCTAAATATTTGGTAATTTTCATTTTTTTCATCGAATTTTTTATCGTGCAGATAAAATGATAATCACGATAATCACTGATCGTCACGAAAGAATTTGTCGATCATTTCTAAATACAGATATGTTTCGTAGATTTTTAATGGGCCCAGAATTTTTGGTCAGATTCATCGGAACTGAGGCTAGCTAACCAACTATATAGCAGTCAGACATTGACTTCATTAATAGGTTTTTAGGCTCAGTCACTGAAATTCAAACCAATATTCAGATTGCAAGTATCAACTTCTTTTATAAAGAGTCATTTTCTTATACCAGGAATGGATTACAATGAAGAATATGGTTTCCCGTGACTGAAATGGTGTCTGTGTAGATTTCTCCCGTTCCTGGTTTCGCGCGATAACGTTGCGCAGCTAATAGCGCATTTATTTATGAAACAGATTACTCAGCGAATTAACTAATTTGCCAAAATAAAAAAAAATCGACTTTAAAAAAAAATATTGAAAGATGAGCTTTCAAATCTACTCAAAAAATGCTATGTTTTTTACATTTAGGGGTATTATGGCGGACCATGTTCACTATATGTTTCGTATTGTATTATTGCATCCTTCTCCGGACATTACCCAAATGAGAAATATATAAAAATTAAAAGAAACTTAATACTGTCATAAGTAATGTCGACTTTTACTTTTAACTTGTGATTTAGCAATTGGAACCAAAAAAAAAAATTTTTATTATTTGATTCGTCTTAGTAAGACGAATCGAACGATACAAAAATTACTCGATTCTGATCAATGTATCGTCAAAAAACACAAGTGCGTCACAATAATCACCTGCGTCATAATACCCTACCCTTTCTTGTATCTTAATGATTTTTTAAAAAAATTGGCTGGTAAAAAAAGGAAAAAAGAAAGAAAAGAGGAAAAAAAATCAGAAGAAACATTATTATCAATAAACTAAATAAAATTTGTAAAAAAAAAATAGTATAGTAGTATAAAGAACCATGAAATAAATCAGCTATTGCCATTTCGCAGACAATAGCAATAACATGTTTCTGTGTATGGTGAAACTTGGGACTAAACTTTACTCAATGTAATTTGCAAGTAATCAAGATGCTGCTCAACCATTTCGATTAATCGAAATTAATGTACGATATATTTTGTTCGGTCAATAAGATCATTTTGTCAACCATTGAGGAAGATGCTTAAGAACAAATTTTGAGAATAATAAGAACAATGTGTTCATAGAGTTCATGTATATATTTGAACCGAAAATTCGAGGGTACATTTAAAGGGGTTTCACTGTACTAAGGTTAGAATTAGATTTAAGGATAGGCAAGTTAAGAATCAACTTGAAGATGTAATAAGCTGTCGATGAAATAAACTGTCTGTAAATTCATTTTTGTAAAATAAGCTTGTATTTAATGTTGTGGCCTAAACTGAACTCTTGCCTGATAAAGCTTCTGAAACCTAGAGCAACAAGCCTAGAAAAAATAGTTATAACTACCTAAACCTTAACAACCATTTCTCAACCTAACAACCATAACTACTAACCTATCCAATAAACTGTAACTAGGGATGGGATCGGCTGGCTTCGGCTGGCTATCGGCTGGCTATTACCGGCTAGCCGCGGCTAAATAGCCGGCTATAGCCGATCAACTATTTAATTAACTAATTTATCAAATATCTAAATAATTGACAACTCAATTGTATGTTTGGTTGAATAATTTCACTACGACTGGTGGTCTGCATCATCGTATAAAGAGAGGAACCTATCATTCATAATTCTGGTTAAATTTGCAGATCATTTGGCCAGATCTA